TTTTTTTTTTTTAACTTATATACCCAGAGACATCCAGAGACCTCTGGAATATACAGAAGGAGCCAATCTGTGGAGCTAGGGTGCAGGCTTCATACCTTGCCAACTCTGTCACTTAAGCTCTTTGGCTTCAGTGCCCTTACCTCTATGATGTGGACAGTGATAAGCTCTTTTCCCTGTCACTGTTGCAGGATTACAGTGTGATCATGTTTGGACATGTTCTGCAAATTCTAACATTCTATGAGGATTTTACTTAACACTTTGCATTCAGGCATCCAGCTGCTTGACCTGGCCATTTCTCATACAGCACGGTCCTCCAGTGTGGCCATGGACCACCCTCAGAATCACCCGAGGAGCACATGAAGAGTGCAGAATCCCAGACCCTCTGATTGGGAAATGCTTGGTGTGACCAAGGAATCTAAATCTTTAACCAACACCCAGGTTTACTAGTTAATTCTGCCAAACGCTAAAATGTGAGGATCAAGGATGGAGACAGTGTCCCTCAAATATATTGGTTGATTTGTTTCCTCCATTAATAGTGCTAGAGCACCCATCTTATTTCAGGAGCTATTCTGGGGAAGAACGGTCTTTGGAAGCAGGGGAGACACTCAGATGTATACCTCACTCTGACACCATATTCTAAATGTCTGTTGAAGACACGTAGCCAGCCCTGAACCCCATAGGACAGGAGGGGACCAAGAGACAGGGAAGATTCCTGACATTCTTCTGTTTTCTTCTCTGGAAAGTTGCACATGCGCGCGCGCGCACACACACACACACACACACACACACACACACAATCTTGTATACTGCTCACCACAGCTCTAAAAGGTACTTACGGAAACTGAGGCTCTGGAGGTTAAGTGAGTGGCCCAGGGTCCCATGGAATCTGTGAGTGATGTGCTGGTAAATGTTCAACGCAGGCTTGGAGGGTGGTGAGGCCTGATTTGTGCAATTTGCTAATTTCTAGGGTGCAAGTTCTCCCGGCATGGCAGATTTCAAGCCACCAATGTACTGTCTTTGAAGGGGGCTGGAGAGGGAGGCTGACAATTGGTAGGAGCTGGCTCCAGCTCTCTGCTGTATACAGTTGCCTTTCACACGAAGACTGCTGAGGAGTGCCCTCTGTGGCAGGGCGGAGGGGGGAAGCCACTGATTTCCCTGCCCCCCTGCTGTCTCATTTCATGAGCATCTGCACTGTGCCTGATGCTAGATGAGGGGAGGTGAGTGTGATGAGACCTCTGCCTTCAGGGTCGACTCAACAGTTACGGGAAAATGTCCCATCCAGCCACCACAAGCCCTACCAGGAGGCTTCAGGAAACGATTGTCTGTGCTCAGGACAGAGGTTGCTAATGGGGTGCAGGTGGCCACAGGAGCAGGGAGTATCTTGTGGAGAGGAAGGCTAACTGGGGAGGCCGAGAGCTGCCACCTATCTCTCCATCACTATCTTCCCCAGAGTCTGGTCCAGGAGCAGGAGGGTCATGCACCCTTTTCTGAGGGGAGGTTGAGACTTTATATGTACCTGTTACTGTGGATGTCAGCCACCATCCTCTCCATTTCCTGAAGAGTACTGGTACATTGTGTCATCAGGTCCCTCATAAACTTGAACTTGCTGCTTCAGCTGACTCAAAGTGGACAGGTATGCAGTCTTCAGGGCTGACAGAAGGCAGCAGCTGGAACTCGGGGCGAAGATGCTGTGTGTCAGGCCTACCATGGACATGCAGGCTTCCCAGGTGGGAGCCCTCGGGGCCAGCTATTGTCTTCTCCTGGCCAAGGTGGTGCCAAAGGGAGGTCATAGTGAGCCTCACTGTCCCCTCAGCTGATCTGAGAATGCTGCTAAATCTCTGATTGACAGGCAATGACAAGAAGCCACCAGAAACTAAATGCCCCACAGTGCAGCAGCTGCCCTGGTGACAGACTGAGGAGGTGTCAGGAGATGCCTGGGCCCCTGGCCTTTCAAGAGAGAGATGTGGGCTCCTTCTCCTCTCAGCAAAAGAAGCCTACCTGAGTTTTCCAGTTCAACCCACAGAGGGAGGAGCACAATCCCTGGGCAGCTCAGCAGTGGGACAGGTGGGCTAGGGCTGTACCCCTTCTTCTAGGCTAGCATTGTGGGGGGGGACAGGTGGTACCCAGGTGTGACGGCGCAGGCATCCCTCCCTTCCTGAAAGCCTTTCTTAATTCAGCCTGTCTGACACACAGAAGAGGAAGGCAGGGGCAGGGGAGGGAGAGCCACGGGGAGCGGTCACCCTGCACAGGAGCCTCAGGGCTCATTCCCTCCAAGTGTGTCAGTGTCAGCGAGTGAGAGAGAGTGTGTGTGCGTGTGTACCAGTGGGGATTTCCATGACAGAAGCAGTCAGATTCTAGGGAGAGAGGGGGGAGGGGAGAGAACAAGAGGGGAGGAGAAAATTGGGGGTGGGAGAGACAGACGGAGAGACAGCAGAGGGAGAAACAGGGAGAGGGAGAGGAGGAGGGGGTGGAGGGGAGAGCAGAGGGGGAGAGCAGGCGAGAAGGAGCTAGCGGAGAGAGGGAGGCAGAGACAGCAAGAGAGCAGAGGGTGTGCAGAGCGAGGAGACGGAGAGGGACAGAGCGAGGGCAGGAGCGAGCAGAGAGAGAGCAGAGCAGAGGCAGAGCTGGGAGCGCCGGTCTTCAAGGATCCCAGGGCGTTAAAGGCTCCAGGTTCAGCAGCGCAGGGCACCGCGCGCTTGACCGAGGCGGTGCGGGGTCCGGGGGTGAGCTGAGCGCCC